AAAGAGGTAATGATGATCCTGAGTCTTCTCTTCACCCTTTATCTTCTCCTTTGCTCAATCGGTTTGAAGTTCCTTTTACTAAAAAATAGATTGGGAATACCTGGCAGAGCGTCATATCTGTGCAACCATTTCCCTGATGTTGATTTCATCTGATGCTTTCTACACTTGGAGAGGCACAGACTTTCTTACAGGCAAATATGCCTTCTTTATATTATTATGACCTCCTTCTTTGGGTCGCTAGCCTGCCTGAAGACACAAAACTCACATAATTGCACTTAAGCTTAAAGTCAACTAAATAATTTTCCCGGTGACCAACCCTTCTATTTTCACACTCCTTGAATCTGCTTCAATCAATAGAATGTGGTGGAAATGGCATGTGCCAGTTCCAAGCCAAGGCCTGTGCACTTCCGTTTGCTTTTTCTTGTACCTTCTCTAATTGCTACAGGAACACGCCCAAGATAGCCTGCTGGAGGATGAGAGACATATGGAGTAGAACCAAGGTTTCCTGGGTGACTGCCAACTGACTCTCAGACATGTGAGCAAGCCTAGCCAAGAACTGTAAAGCTGTCCAGCCAACCATGATGAATCCATGAGCAATACAAAATGGTCATACACCCTGATATTTGATGGTGGTTTGCAACATAATCATGGCATTAGATATCTGGCACAGTCCTTTTGGCCAAAGAGAGTCGGGGAAAATGGTACAATAAGTGCTGATCTTATTATAATAGGTTATTAGGTTATAGGATCTTAGGTTATATTCGAAGAGCCATAGAAAGCCATTGGAATATGTAAATCAGAGGGATGTCATAATCAGAATCTAGAAAGACTCCTTGGGTACATTTGTAGGGAATGGATTGGCAATATTTCAGACAAGTGATGATAATGTCTAGAATAAAGGTAGTAGTGGTGGAGATGCAGAGATGTATATTTTATTTTTAGGATGTAACAGTAACAGAACTTTGAGTAATTGGATATGGGGACAGATGAAGAGAGAAGTGTCAAGCATGCCTGCCAGAATCTGGTTAATATGCCTGGATGGATGATACTATCTATTGTGATAGGGAAAACTGGAGGAGGATGAGGTAGGTCTGGGAAAAACCAGAGTTCGGTTGTGGACCTGTTCTATTTGAGTCTCCTGTAAGGTAGAGATGTTGGTAAGCAGTTGCATGCATCCATCTGAAGCTCAGAGGAGAGGCCTGCGTTAAAAGTAGTAATTTTGGAGCTGTTAGTGTATTGATCATAGTTGAAGCCATGAACATGGATGAGGTCATACAGGGAAAGAGTACAGAGTGAGAAAATGACAGGTTCTATATCCAAGCTTTCAAGAACTGCAAAATTAAAAGGTTAGGTACAGGAGGATGGGCTGGAAAGATAAAGAGGAAAATCAAGAGTACTTAATATCACAGCTGATAATGGAAGAGAGAGTTTAAAGAAAGAGAGTCTAATGTGAGATACTGTGAGAAGAGGTAAGAAATATTCCTTGAATGTAGTGATATGGAGGTCACCAGAATCCTTCCAAAAAGCAAAACTTTGCTAACAATTTCAAGAGGATGGTAGAGGTATCCCATCACATACCCCTGAAACCCAGGTTAAAAACTCCTACCTGTGTCTTCCTAAAAGCCATCTAATCAGATAACCTAATTGGATGCAAAGTATTAATTCTTTACTATCTCAAAGACAGGGGAAATGTTTTAGTTGACTTTAAGGCCAACTGCAATTATGTGAGTTTTGTGTCTTCAGGTAGGCTAGTGACCCAAAGAAAGAGGTCATAATAATATAAAGAAGGCATATTTGCCTGTAAGAAAGTCTGTGCCTCTTCAAGTGTAGAAAGCATCAGATGAAATCAACTTCAGGGAAATGGTTGCACAGGTATGACGCTCTGCCAGGTATTCCCAATCTATTTTCCAAGCACGGTCAACATTGGCTTCCTCCTGCCCTGGAAACAAATCTTCCTGTTTGGACTTAACTGTATTATTCTTAACCCAAACAGAGATAATGGACGATGATTTGAATAAAACCTGGGTATTCCTGAGAAGTGATTCTAGAAAACTATAGTCAGAAATATGTAAATCTGACTCCCGATTCCATGCAATGGACTCTCTCCCTCCTGACCCTTCAACTGCTGAACCATTACTCCAATTGCCAGAGGCCAGGAATTTTATAATTCTGTCCCTCACACTCTTGAGCAATTCTAATAATTAGAAAGTTCATCCTTTCACTTTCTCCCAGTTGGTTCTATTTCTGTCCTCTGGATCTTTATATTATTTTCCTGGGGCTGTTATAACAAATTACCATAAATTTTGTAGCTTAAAACCACATAATTGATTCTCTCACAGTTCTGGAGGTTAGAAGTCCAAAATCAAGGTTGCCCACAGGGCTACACTTACTCCAAAGGCTTTGTGGGCAGTCTGTTATTTGCCTATTCTAGCTTTTGGTGGCTCCAGGCATTCCTTGGTTTATTGCCACATTACTCTGATCTCTGCTTCCATGGTCACACTGCCTTCTCCTCTCCTCTATATGTGTCTTATTAAGACACTTTTCATTAGATTTAGGGCATGCTGAGATAATCCAAGATGATCTCGTCTCAAGGTCCTTATCTTAAATTATGCCTGCGCAGACCTATTTTCAAATAATATCACATTCTTAGGTTCTAGGGACTAAGATGTGGACCTCATTATCTTACAGAAGAGTGAAGTGGACTGTTTCGTAGAATCAAAGGCTGGATTTTAAGTATTAATTCCTGGAGAAATTCTCCACGTTTTGATCAAAACCACTTCAAAAATTTATATCACATCACATTTTTTTCATCTAATTATGTCATTTTGCCAGTTTATAACTGGAAAAATTACTTAGCCTTCCCAAGCCTCCAGGATTTTTGTTGTAGCTGTAATTGTTGTTTTTGTTGTTGTTGTTATCAAGTAGGATAATGATACCCTTTCATAGGGTTGTTGTGAATATTAAATGACATAATATATGAAGAGCAATCAGCACTATGCCTGCCAAAATATCACACTGCTCAATAAATGTTCGTTGTTATTATTATTCTTTTATAGTACTTTGAAGTTTTTAATGTGTAACCAGTGATTCATCTAATTTAATACTTATAATCCCACAGTTGAGTAGGTATTATGTCAGGAGACCTAGACTCGGCAAGATATTACCCCAATATTAGTTTGAAGATAATTTTTATTTGTCCCTTCTCGTCCCCAAAGTGACTTGAAGCAGTTTCAAAATATATGTGTATATATATAAATATATACTTAAAAAGCAGTAAATTTGGAAAATCAACCAAGTGAAAGGTAAGTATTCATATCAACCATAATGGTAGATTCAATTCCATCAATTGAGTGTCATATTTGTCTCTTACAAGAATGTTAGCAGTGGCTCTGGCTCTTCTGGATGGTGGGATAATGGGTTAATTTTTTTATGTCTCTCCTTCCCCTGTTTTTACTCTTCCGTACTTTATAACTTTTCTATAATGAACATGTATTTATTTATTATTTTCATAATCAGAAAGAAGCTTCTTAACTGAACGTTGCCTTCTTGATAGTCAAGGGAAGAGGGGAAAAAGTCAGTCACTTAGGGGCTTCCCTGGTGGTGCAGTGGTTGAGAGGTCCGCCTGCCGATGCAGGGGACACGGGTTCGTGCCCCGGTCTGGGAAGATCCCACGTGCCGCGGAGCGGCTGGGCCCGTGAGCCATGGCCGCTGAGCCTGCGCATCCGGGGCCTGTGCTCCGCAATGGGGGAGGCCACAGCAGTGAGAGGCCCGCGTACCGCAAAAAAAAAAAGTCAGTCACTTATATAGTAAAATCAGAAAGGATCGAGTGTGTCAATTCCTTCAGGAAAATAAGTTTTCTAGTATTGTTTTTACTTTGAATACTAATCAGTATAATGTACTTTGAACTCAGCATAATTTCTCAGCAAATACATTGACAATGCCCCCAGATGCTTCTTGCAGCGTTGATCAGAAAAAGCAGAAGGTGTATGTGATTCTGCAATGGACTAAGATTATGTGGTCCTTAGACAATTACTCCTAAAGATCACTGTGAAGTGAGCCCAAGAGTGAGTAGAAAGGCATCACTCCTGGATCTGGTTCATCAGCACTGAGTTTGAAAATGTGCCCAGAGCTGGCTATAACAGCTTGGAGTATCTGGGGATGACAAATATGTGTTTAAAGTTTTGCAATAATATTGTGTATAGTATAACTCCAGAAATGATGGAATACCTGGTCTAGATGGGTGGCCCTTAGCCTGTAGCCACTTTAAACTAAGAGTAGGAACACTCTAGTCACTGAGGAAGACAGTGACACTACCAGAAGGTGTGAAGTAAATATCACTCCAACTGTACCATCTGCAACAGCGCACCCTTTGATAAAGCACTGGAGGTCAAGAGAGTCATCTCGACTGGTCAAAGAAACTATTGCAAAGCTCTCTGCCACGTATCCTGATCATGCTGATTTTCTTTTGAATCCAAAAGTAAATCCTGCCTGATTACCCAGATTGTCAGTGCCTGATCTTCCTGTCAACTCTTTCCTATTATGACCTTTGTCAAGAGAGGGATTGTAAAATCATTTTAACACCTGAGCTTTGATGGAAGATTGAGCGCAGAGAACTTGGGATTATATTTCCATTGATAAGGGTCTAGAGTAATGGAATTCAAGGTTGTTGACTGAGGAAAGATTTTATTTGGAAGCCAGATGAAAATGCGGCAGAGATGAATAGACTGTGAAAATAGAGCTGATAATCGTATTCTTGCTCAGAGGAAAGTCTTCGCTCGAGTAGCCCATTAGTAGCAAAGTTGGAACACAGTTCTTTTTTTTTTAATTTGATTTATGAGATTTTCAAACATATACAAAAGTAGAGAGTAGAGTATAAAGAACCTCAGTTTCAACAGTGATCAACATTTGGCCAATCTTATTCTCTATCATCCATATCCAAGATATCATATCGTTACACATGTAATGATGTGGAATCAAAGTATAAATTGAATTATAATAAATACATTTGTAACTTTTATTTCCCATTCATGACAGTACTTCATGTAATTTCACAAGCTGTTTTTAAATACATGCAGGTAGGTTTATTTTGTCTGTCCTTAAGTTTTAAATTTCTCCAGGAAAAGAATTTTTTTCCATGCCTCCCTCTGCAGCTGTCTCTCAGGACCCAGGACAGTTGGGTGGTTGAAACAGTGCTTCATAAATGCTATCCACTGCGAGATACATGCTGCTGTTCTGATCACCGTAAACAAAGCTAACAGAATATTGATAAAATAGCAAAGATAAATGCAATGTTGCTCTCTAACAGCTATATGGTTAGAAATTATTATATATTTAATTGGTATAAAAGCCAATTATCACAAACTTCATCTAATGACATCATCACCTCTATTCCATCGTTTTATTCAAGAAACCAAGTCAAATACGAACCCCAAACCTGTGAAATCCCTTTTTTTCTTTCTCTTCATCTTTTCACGATTTTTGTAATGTTCCCTTTAATATGTTTTGCTTTTGAAACCTGATGACTGGAAATTCATTCAAGTCTGACTTTATAAGTGTTAGCTTTATAAGTGATTCTTGGGGCTTTTTAAATATTTGTTTTTAATCTGATGTATCTGGAAACTTTCTCCTCCCTAACCAAGAATGTGCTTGCTCTCTCTCTCTTTCTCTCTCTCTCTCTCTCTCTTGCATCAAGATCCACCCACCCACCCTCAAAATTACCTTTGCTGAAAACAATCAAAACTATTCCAGTCAAGGGAAAGAATTTTCCAGAATTTAAGCATCAAGTCAAAACTACATATTATCTATCAAACCAGATGTTTACCTGTTCACTGCCAAAGAAGCTGGAGGTACATCAAAAACCAGTGACGGGAACAGCTTTGAACCTCATGCAGAAGGAGGCAGTTCGGGAAAGTTTGGGGTTCCCGTAAGCCCTGTGGGCCTGCAGATATATTTAAACTTAGGAAATGGTTTTTCTTGGCTAACCAGATTATGGCAGGCCGTGTAAGATTCTTTTGTCTGTAACTACATTGGGAGTTTCTGCTGCCTGGTTTTTTCCTGCGTCCTGGTAAAGTCCTGTGTGATTTTAGTGAGTCACTTGGCATTCTGAAGCCTGTTTTCTTGTCTCTGAAATCTCTTCATTCTGACTGTCTATGATTCTAACTCAGTCTCTTTCACTGCCTCTTGGCATGCAACAGCAAGTATCAGCTTACCCAGGGGCATAAGTGTCAGTCAGTTCCTGAAGTGTCAGGAATTGTTGATGACCTTTATTAACATAAGATGGTGGCTTCTGATGGCACTTTGAGGGTAGGACCCAGTCAAACCAAATACAACTTGGTAGGCCTAGAGTTCCCTCAAAGAATACATTCTCTCTTTCCAAGCGATTTGTAAATTAAAGTTAGCTCTAAGACAAGGTGGAGAAAAGCATCTCCTTTCCCCAAGTGGTTCCAACCAGGCATGGGCAGCTGCAGAGCTAGCTTGGTCTCCCAGAAACTCACTGGGACAACTGAAAAAGGGGAATAAAATTCTAAGCTATCTTTGAGCTATATTTCACAAACACTGGTCTAGGCCAGGGCTACCCACCACTGACGGTATCAGTGTGCTTCCATCCAACTGGTCACTGTTGCTGAAATTTTAGTGCTTCCTCATGTTTCTTAACTAAGAACCACCGGGTTTACTGATCAATACATTACAAAAGAGCATTTAATTAAAGACATCATCTGACTTATTTTTATATGAGATATTTACAATATCGTCTTCGATTTATAACAAGGGAAACCTTCTTGTGTGTACAAGTTAAGGGAATTATATACAAAGCTAAACAGCAATGACAGATCCAGAATCATGCATCATCTGAGCAGCTGGTGCCTTTTGCTGTTGGACTAGAAAGTGAAAGCTACTTCCAGAAAAACACAACTCTCCTTTTGAGTTCCAACTCTTTGAGTTGAGTGCTTCACTCTCTAGGCTAATATGATTTAGGTGAAAAGTACCTAAGTATCTGTTGAATTCTCTGGAACCTTTCAAATTCTGGTAAGGTCCTTCTATCATGACATATTATCAAATCTGGTAAAGCAACATAATTCTAGGGAGAGCTTTCAGCGGTATCAATTTTTGCATCCTCTTTAAGTGTTTGGAGAGCTCTCTGCCATCTCTTACGGCAGGTGGTGGCTGTTAATACTCTGGAGCAAGGTGGCAAAACTGTATTCAGAAGCTGATGCTCAATAGAAAGGACTTTAACTTTTGTGGGATTTTTTTGGTTTGGGTTTTGTTTTTATAGGGTGCCGGCATGGTCGGGTTCTGGAAGGTCTCTCTTCCTGGTTTGCAGACAGCACCTTCTTGCTAACTTTTGTGTGTTTTATTCCTTTGGTCCTATCCTCAGCACAAGGAAAGGCCAAATCATCCTGGATGATGTATTAGGGTCCCTAATACAAAGACCAGTAGGTTTTCTCTCTGTTCATCCAGAAGGAAGCTCCCACTGCCAGCACTCCTATCTCCACCTCAACCCCACATCCACTTCTGGACAAGGGTGGGGCTGACTGTGAGGAGGAACTGGGAAGGACATGAGGCCTGTGTTGTTTCAGTGGGGGTTTTGAGGTCACAGGGCAGACACGCCTCAGCACATAAACTTGCGCATGTTGGGAGCTATACCCCTTCATACTTGAACCTTTACAGAAGACAGACTTGGTGCACACACAATTTAAAATTGAGGACATGTAAATTCAGAGAGATTAAATGACTGGTCCAAGGTCAACACATTACTAAATATCAGGGATGGAACTTAAACCCCATTCTTTTGGTTCTAAATCCATTATGCTTGTCTCTATGCCTTATGACCAACAATTTCTAAAAGTCCTTTTCTACTCTCTAGTTCAATCATACTCTCCCACAGGGAAGGAGAGATGCTCCAGTACAAAGCTGTTTGAACTACTCCTCCCTCCCATAATGTATTGGCATAAAATTTGTTCAAGAAATACTGCTTGACTGCTTATACTAGATGCTAGGGAAAAGCAAGCAAGCAAGCCAACAGATTTAAAAACCTCTGCCCTTATGAAGCTTACAATCTATTGGAAAGAGACAGACAATAAAATAAACAAGTAAAGTATGTAGCATGCTAGATTTTGATGGATGCAAGGGAGAAAAATGAAGAAGGAGAGGGAGACAGAAAGGGTTTGTTGGGGAAAAGGCTTATGTGGCCACCTTTGGGAAGAACATTCCAGGCAGAGAGAAAAGTAAGTGCCAAGGTCCTGTGGTGGAAACCTGTCTGAATGTTAGTGAAACAGCAAGGAGGCTAGTGTGGCTGGCAGAGCATGAATAGGAGAAAGAGCAGCAGGAAGTGATTTCAGAGAGTATCAGGGAGCCCAATCATGTAGAGCCATACAGCCCATGTAAAGACCTTGGCTTCTCCTCTAAATAAGATAGGAAGCACTTGGAGATTTTGTGAAAAAGAATGACACTATTTGTCTTGACCTATATTTTAAAACAGATGTGAGAAGAGACTAAAAAGGGGAGAAAGTAGAAGCAGGGAGATTAATTAGAAAACTATGTCAACAATCTGGGAGAAAGATAATGATGGTTTGGGCCAGGTGGTAAGATTGGGGGTAAGAGTTGGATTCTAAATATATTGATAGAGCAAATAGGATATACTGACAAGTAGTATTTGGGATGAATGACAGTAAGAGTGGAGGGAACAGAGAGAGCACTGGGCAGGAAGTCTGGGATTCTGAGTTGGAGTTTTAGTCCCATGTCATGCTTTCAGTGTTACCCAAAGAAAGTCACTGAAAAGCTTAAGGCTTCATTTTTCACACCTATAAAGATGGGCTTAAAAACCTTCCCGACCTCACAAGGCTCAAATGAATATGATGTCTATGCAAAAGATGGCTTGCTTACAATTGAATCACAGGTCTCTGTGACCCTGTCCATGTTTCTTAGCCTAAGTGACTGTGGTAGGGAGACTGAAGTCCTATCTGGAACATTTTGAGAGCAAATATAAAAAACAAAAACATTACAGTTGTGAAGAATTACTTTAGGAAGCTTTATTTTTAGGAAGTTAAATCTCTTTCTTGACGAGCTAAATAACCATAGAAGAAAGTTGGTCCAAGAGAACTATTTTAACCAAAGCCTCATAATCCCTAGTCATACTATGGGATTTTGTACTCTTTGAACTTGTATTTATGAAATGTTACCTAGTTGGTGGTTAATAAATTCCAACCGCTCCCCCCAGATCTTCACCTTCAGTTTTAGTTCTATTTAAGCACAAAAAACTTCTTTTGGTTTCCCTTATCTCTGAGCTCATTTACCACCACCCTGGGAAGTTTCTAAATTTTTACTGCCAAGAAAACTTTGTGATTGAGTTATTCAAAGTGACTCAAATATTTACAACTTTCCCAACCTTGCTGAAGCATACAAAGCCCAAACTGTCTCTTTCCAATTCATAGATTCAGAAGAAACTCCCCTAATTGAAAGGTTCAGGATGAGTAAGGGGCAGTTGGTGAGACCCTCCCAGGGGTGAAAGGGCAGGAGTCACAAGGCAAGACTGGTGCTACCCAGGGATCTGCCTTGTCAGACAGAGCCATGTGCTCTGAGTCACACCTTCCACCTCCTCTCTTTGCTCTCTATGACCCTCCCAAGTCTTTCCCATCAAAACCTACCTATTCTAAGTCCAAGTCTCTCAATACCCCGCAAGGTAACTGATAAGCCATTTAATAAGCCAATTTAAGTTGAATTGCTAGTGAGGAAGAAGGAGTAGACCTAGGTCTTTCTGCACTTTAAGCGGAACTCCCAGAAAGATAATGGCCTAACTAAAATTATGGTGGAATGGTGGAATGCTTAGGCACTGTGAAGATAGCTGTTTCATAAAGGAGAGCCTTTGGGAGAGACTCATGAAATCTCATAAGATGGTCTCCTTCTTTGCCTATACGTTAAGTGAGCAGTCCTCAAAATTGTCCTTGAGACCATTTCTGGGGTTCCACAAAGTCAAAACTACTGTCATAATCACATCAATTCCTTATTTTCATTGTCTCACAAGTGTGCTGTGGAGCCTTCCAGAAGCTACCTGATGTGTGATGTTGCTATCACTCTGATGACTAATGAAATGCATGTTTGTAGATTTTTGTTTTTAAAGTTTATCAGTTTTAATCTCAAATATGGTAAATATCAACAGACATAATTCGCTTTACAAGAAAGCTCTTTGGGGTCCTCAATAATGTTTTTACGTGTGTAAAGGGGTCCTGAGACCTTTAAATGTTTGAGAACTGCTGCTTTAATTTACCCTGTCTGATCTGGCAGCTGAGATACCAGAAAAAACAGCAAAACCAGAAGCAGGATGATAATTCCTACTAAATTCAAAACTGTGTGAGCTAATCCATTTGCAAAGGTTGGTATCTAAAAGCAAAATCAGATTGACATCTATATACTAATATGTATAAAATAGATAACTAATAAGAGCTTGCTGTATAAAAATAAATAAATTAAATTAAATTTTAAAAAATCCCCAAACAAACAAACAAAAAAGCAAAATCAAAACAGCACATATAAGGAAGTACTCCAAAATTGACCGGGTCATATCAAAAGGACACAGGCACCAACATGAAGCAGCTTCCACTGGTCAGATCAAGAACATCTGATCTGTGACGTTGTGACAAATCATAAATGCCAACAGCAACTTTTAGGGGGTAAGAGATAGAGGGGAGGATTTCACACACAGAGGAAAAATATACAGATTATCATTAATGCCCACATTTTCCACATTCCCTACGAGAATATCATGAACCAAATATTTAGAGTTGACACTTTTAATTATTCAGTATATTAATACAAATATACGAAATAATACAGAATTAAATAACATACGAAAACCTTACTAAATATATAAATATTCAATTCAACAGTGAAAACAACTTAAGTTTTAGTTTTTAGTTCCTAGGTCACTGGATAGAGACAAGAAGGCAAAAGATACTGAAAAAGTCACCAACTTGGTCGTATGATTATTTAAGAGTTCAAAATTGTTCCACTAGTTAGAACCATATGTTTACAACAAAGGGATTTGTACACCCATACATGCTTCCTCTGCTATTGTGAGAAGTTAACTCATGAGAAAAGAAGCTGGGAGAGACAAAGCATTTGAATTAGCTGACTGCTATTCAGGAAACTTTCTAAATGCCGTATTTTCTAAATATGTCTTCATTATACTAGGCTGAATTTAGAATGACTAAAATAGGGCTGGGTCATATTATGAAACAAATGGATGGGAAATGCATGCCTTTTTAAAAATGTGAGCTGCTGAGACTAATAATATTTAGTCTGCTATAAAAACAGATAAGTAAAGTTAAGGTTGTCAACATTACCTCACAATAAATTCAGTTCCGCTTCCACTGTGGTAAATATCACAGAAGTACATGAAGAATAGCAGTGAAACTGAGGGTTCTAGAAAGACCAGTTATTAGCAAAACAGTAAGCAGGTGGTGGACTAGATACCAAGTGATGATGAAATAGACTTAACGGACCAAAGAAGAAGGGAAGAAGAGGTGGAATAGCCACAGAAAGGCAAAAGGTAGTCTCAGAAAAGTTCTTTGGTCCCTACCTTCCTGTATTCTTCTCTCTCTTTTTCATTTCTTTTCTCTTTGTTTATTCCTTTTTTTTCCCCTGGAATTACAGCCATTTTTGGAGAAGAGTGGCAAATTATTTGGTCCAAATCCTTAATTTTCTGTATGCAAACGTGAAAGCTCATTGAGATAGTGATTAACATAGAGTTGCCACCAGTCGGAGTCAAAGTCAGTCTCTGAGCGGTGGCTCCTGATTCTAAGTCCACTACCCTTTCAACAGCACAACATGGCATTGTTTTACAAAATCAAGTCCTACAACAGACCTGAGAGGTAAAATGACTTCCTCTTGGAACTCACAGAAGCATTGGGTAGCCTAGATGGCAGTAGAAAGTCTTGAAATTCTTACGCCTTTGACCCCAATTTCTTTTGCTCTTTTGGGTTCCTTGAAGAATGACCCTCTTTCTCCTGCTTGCCTCCTGAGTCAGATTCAAGTAGACCAGGGAATAACTTTCAGGGTTCTGTGTGACTCCTCTATGGCTCTGGGTAAAAGAAAGATCAAGATATTAACTTTGAACATTTATAATTTCTATTCTAATAGATTTTAAGAAGATAAATAACAGAAGGATCAATAAACACAGAATTCTCCTGTGTATATTTCATCAGCCAAGATAAGGAAGTAGACATTCCTGACCCAACATGATGTGAGGCAACTGTGACTCTCTTTAAAAGGACAAGAGTAATTCTAGGATTCTAGGAAATAATAGTTTGCTATTCCTAAGTAAGACTGTACTTGTTCAGTAATACACTTAAGACTACAAGTAAAAGAACACGTTCAAGAATTCCAAATGATCTACATGTATTTTATTTATAAGACCTTGGGCTTTGTTTCCTTTGTTTCCTCACTTACTGGAGATCGGGTTGGGAATGGTCACAAAGTAGACAGATAGAGGTCCCTTCAAGGTTATTAGCTTTCTAGCACTTAAACTTGGAGCATGTGGACCTCTCTACAAGGCATGTAAACAGTGAAGTAAAAGACCTCGGATATCATCTTGGTTCCACATCTCACTCTCCATGTAATCTGAAGTAATTCTTTACCAGAAACTGCAAAGTTCTTCATGTTTTAACTGTGCCAACATTTCCAGTATCAGTGATCTCTTCAGCCGTGAAAGACAGAACAGCTCAGGCAAGAATGCCCAGGCTTACGGGTCTGTTAGCCACCTACTTTGTGATTGGATTTTGTTATGACATTTTGATATGATGGGTGGCATTTGCACCCATTCAAGGGTGAAATTTTGTAGACAAGTAGCCTTGGAATGCAAGATTCCTCCAAGCAATTCTAACCTAGTCGGTTCAATAAAAATTGCTTCACACTTTTCTCATATAAAGCACCCTTTCTTCTGCTTGGAACTAGGAGGACACTGGGATAGAGGTGAGGGTTACCACTCACCCAGCCTTCATCTGGAAAGTGTAAGTACAATTATTTAGCAAAGCAAGGATTCTCATTTTTTTGGAAACATATATCTTTTGTATTATCTTTCCAACTAATCACCAATTTCCGCAACACAAATTATTTACTGAGCACCTCTGTTATTTGATGTAGTACTAAGCTTAAAATAGGAGAAAGTCCATCCACTGCACTACAAATAACTCAATTTCATTTCTTTTTATGGCTGAGTAACATTCCATTGTATATATGTGCCACATCTTTATCCATTCATCTTTAGATGGACACTTAGGTTGCTTCCATGTCCTGGCTATTGTAAATAGAGCTGCAATGAACATTGTGGTACATGACTCTTTTTGAATTATGGTTTTCTCAGGGTATATGCCCAGTAGTGGGATTGTTGGGTCATATGGTAGTTCTATTTTTAGTTTTTTAAGGAACCTCCATACTGTTCTCCATAGTGGCTGTATCAATTTACATTCCCACCAACAGTGCAAGAGGGTTCCCTTTTCTCCACACCCTCTCCAGCATTTATTGTTTGTAGATTTTTTTGATGATGGCCATTCTGACTGGTGTGAGGTGATACCTCATTGTAGTTTTGATTTGCATTTCTCTAACGATTAGTGATGTTGAGCATCCTTTCATGTGTTTGTTGGCAATCTGTATGTGAAGTAAATCAGAAAGAGAAAAACAAATACCGTATGCTAACACATATATATGGAATCTAAAAAAAAAAAAAGGTTCTGAAGAACCTAGAGGCAAGACAGGAATAAAGACGCAGACATAGAGAATGGACTCGAGGACACGGGGAGGGGGAAGGGTAAGCTGGGATGAAGTGAGAGAGTGGCATGGACATATATACACTACCAAATGTAAAATAGATAGCTAGTGGGAAGCAGCCGCATAGCACAGGGAGATCAGCTTGGTGCTTTGTGACCACCTAGAGGGGTGGGATAGCGAGGGTGGGAGGGAGACGCAAGAGGGAAGAGATATGGGGATATATGTATATGTATGGCTGATTCACTTTGTTATACAGTGGAAAATAACACACCATTGTAAAGCAATTACACTCCAATAAAGATGGTAAAAAAAATTAATAGGAGAAAGTGACATGATTCCACCCAAGATATAGTGTTTACCAACATTATCATTATTAGCATTGCAAAGAACCTATTTATAAGGTTAGATTATTGTGAAGCGAACTGAAAAAAATCAAGGCAATTATATAGATAATGTGGGCTTAAAAAAACCCACTTTTACCTGAAATAGTTAGATACTTGAAGAAAAGTGAGGTTTGGAATATGCATTTCATATGATTGTCTAAATCTTCTATTGGTTTCCAAATCAGCCTTGACCCAATCAAACACAAGAAGACTGCTACTCAAAATAAAGATTTCTAAAAATTAGGTGATTATCTATGATGATCTGCCCCAAAGTGAAGTTGTTGTTTCTAAGAAGCTTGTGATCATTGGTGGGTTGGCTAATGAGAAATAAAAGATTATCCTCAACCTCAAATTTTACTTCACTGTAGTATGTGTGGAAGGGGCAACAACTGGCTTTAACAGAAAGAACTATCATGAAATGATGGAAAATTTCCCTAGGAAATTTCAATTTCTTCCCATTTTCTATTTAGTAATGAAGTACTGATTCATAAAAGAAAAAAAGAATGTTCTTTGAAAACCTATTAACCTATTATTGTATTGCTGTAGTCTCATGGGAAGTAATTGTGATGATTCCATTAGGAATGGTGCAAAGAGAAGTCACCTCTAGCTCATCACTAGTACAGCTTTACAGTTGAAAAACCCAACATCACACTCTCTGGCATTATACAGAATCACAGGAAAACTGCAGGGAGCCTGACTTCTATATGAAAATAACATCTGTCATTAGAGATTACCCCTCTGTCCACAAACTATAAATTTGCTTATGTTTTTGTGAGCAACAAATTAGTGATTTTAATCTAAAATAAACTTTTTTTGGTCATTTATCTAACAAAGAGTTGAACTTTACTTAACAGACTTTTCTTACTTACCAGATTTGTCTTACTATTGGGCAGTTCCAAGGAGATGACTCTTTGTCTACTCATATTCAATAAGCTCAAGAACTAATTCATCTCTACTCTTTCTCTCCCCACAAACTCTGAACACACACACACACACACACACACACACTCACACTCAGTTCCCCCTCCACTTCTATTTCTGTTCATATCACCATTTTTTCAGGTCACCAGGTCCAGAATCTTGGTGTCATTTTTGACTGATCATGTTTCCCCACCCATCCAAAAGTTTTATGTTTCAGAAGATAATAGAAAGTAAAAGAGAGAGAGAAAGCAAAAAAACACAAAGTAAGGGTAAAGAAAGATATTCTGTAATAACCTAAATGGGAAAAGAATTCGAAAAAAAATAGATATATGTATATGTATAACTGAATCACTTTGCTTCACACCTGAAACTAACACAACATTGTAAGTCAACTATACTCCAATATAAAATAAAAATTAAAAAAAAAGAAAGATGGAAAGCAAATGTGGTAGCACTATTCACTTTCATCACAAATTGACAATCAAAATTTGTTACTTGAAGAAATAAAAAATGTCTCTATCTTTGATGATTTTCTTCCCTTTCTCCCAGCTTTTTGTATTACTTAAGTTTTGGTCTTAACAAACCAGTATTCCCTCAGACTTGAGGGTTTGTCTCCAGCATAATTGACATTTGATTTTACTAGCTATTTAAGTATATGGAACCAAATAATCTTAAGCTGACTCACTTCACTTCAGCAACTGAATAAGGCATTGAACAAACATATTTCCCAGAAAATACAAGACTTAATGAACAAAGGACAATTATTTTGCAAATGCCCCTTTCTACTGAAATTTACCTTGGGCTTGAATAGGTTGTATTATAAGATTCTTGTCCAAGGGGATTTTTAAAATGAATTTAAACACTTCATATTTTTCTGCTTGTACTTTACAGAAGAACACAGTAATATCAGCAAGCACAGACAGAAATAAATGCAACTAACAACAGCACCTTTCAAGTCAGGAAACTATAACTGAAAGAACATTCCGGCAGAGGTCAGGAGACCAGGATTCTAATCCTAGCCCTGCTGTTAACTAACTGTGTGACCTTAGGGAAGGAAGTCAACTTCAGTTCCTAACTGGAAAAGTGAAATGTTTGGAAAAAGTGGAATCAAACGGCCTTCTGCCTTTGACATTTTGCAGAGTGCTAAGGAGTTCTATGGGTTTAGGTTTATGTGCAATAAGATTATCTGATTTGCAATCTCCTGTCCCATACAGAACAAATCCCTTTATCTACTTTTGCAAAAGGGTCATTGACACTGGTGATTTGTTGCTTTTCTTATAAAGTCACAAGAATTAATCAGGTGTTTATATAAGGCTTATGCAAAATTAAATGTTCAAAAAACTTAGAAGGTGAAAGATATTAGTCTATGAGACATAAAATAAAAAGGAAAAAAGGTAGCATTTGAGTGAGATTTTTTCTTTTTTTTTGTGGTACGCGGGCCTCTCACTGCTGTGACCTCTCCCGTTGTGGAGCACAGGCTCCGGACGCACAGGCTCAGTGGCCATGGCTCACGGGCCCAGCCACTCCACGGCATGTGGGATCTTCCCAGACTGGGGCACGAACCCGTGTCCCCTGCATCGGCAGGTGGACTCTCAACCACTGCGCCACCAGGGAAGCCCTGAGTGAGATTTTTAATAGAAATGTAAAATAACACTCAAAGCCAACATTTTTTTCTTTCCTCTCTGTCAGTCATGTGAGCTGGAGAAAACTCCCATACCACCCCTTCATCTTGGGAAATTCCCATTACATACAACATAAACTGCAGCTTTGCATTAGCTTTCATAAATTATGCACTGTCTTCAGAAACTAAAGAAATTTAATTCTTCCCAGCTGGCTGACACCTCTTGTTTGATACCATCTCTTGTTTTATATTGTCTCACAGTGTTTAAGACTCAGTATCTATGAGGTACTGAATTTGCAATTTAAAAAAAAATGGAATTGAACAAATCCCTTTGAAAATCTACCCTTCCATTCATTCACTCATTCATCTTTTAATGAACATTTATTGACCACCTGGTATACATAAGGCACTGTGATAGTTGTTGTAGGGGCTGGAGAGAAATTAACAGTGTATAAGGGCAGAATGACATGATGCAGTTATTATAAGTATGGATCACCTGTATGTTTGCCTAGAGTGTCTGAGCCATAGTGAGAGTATAACATAGAAAGCACTACTCAATTAGTGATCATATCAGACAAGTTCACAGTCTCTTAAGTGGGGTAGCTGACCTGTGGAATGCTGTAAAAAGAGAAGAGATTGTCCTGGGTAGAATGAACACAGCCTGGGTGCCAAGACTTCCCTGCTTTTGCCATTAGATGATTCCATAGTGATTGAATAAATATTTTCCACATGTCCTCTCATCAATCCTTACTCTGAATTTATAAAATAATTGGCCTTTAAACCATCTTGGCAAATGAAATGCAGAAACTAATGTCCAATTGCAAGAAAATGACACTGAAATGTTTTAAAATACCATCAACATTTATGTATTCTGGAAACACCAAACCAAACACATGGTTGTCACCCCTTTACTTATATCTTCATTTTACCCCCAAATTGTCATTAAACAATCATTTTTTTCCTTCTTTGTACTTCATGGGGACTCACCTCGGTCTTGGTTCCGACGATGTTTCCAGTATAGTAGGATTGAAATTAAGACCAGAAGAATTACCAAGGAAACAATACTTAACAGTAGTGGAACTGAAAACCAAAAGCCTGTGGATATTGAAGGGAGAAAAGGAAAAACAAGTCATAAGTGGAAGCTGTAGAGGCAAAAAGCGATAAAGAGACAGTTGTGATGAGTTTTTACTAGAGCTGAGCTTTCGATGAAAATTATTCTTAAATATATATATATATATACTGAAGTCTATATTCATGACCTCACATTATTTTAATAACATTTAAATAATAATAATCACTAACATGTTTTATGTAGTTACTAAGTTGTAGGAGCTTTGAATGTGTTACCTCATTTAATCCTCTAAATAGCCCAAGAGTTAGGTCTTATTATAATTATCTAACAGATTAAAAAAACAAACAACTGAGGCTCGAAGAAGTTAAGTAAGCCCAAAATCAGTGTAGTAAGTGGTAGAACAAGGCTTGCTCAGAGGTCTGTTTGCCTTCAAAGCACATATTCTTTGCCATACTGTCCATTAAAGTAATATGTTTATTGAGGAATTGTTGAAAAATACAAAGAAATATAAAGGAAAAGAATAATGAATCTCGTGATTCTAACCCCCAGGAATAACTCATCTCAATGTTTTTATTGTGTTGCTTCTAATCTATGCCTTTGTTATTAAATCTCTTTCCAATAGTCAATAGATGCAACTTAGCCTGAATGTCAGCCCCTCAGTGTCACTGTGTAATACAAAGGCAGAAGAAACACTCCCTGATTTGCGAGTCTCCAGCATCTTCTCCATACCTTTATAATGGAATTTGTCACATCATACTTTAACTGAGCACCTTCAGATTTGTCTAATTTCACTAGTTCTAGTGCTCGACATAATGCTTTAAGCATGAAAGATTTTTAGTAAATGTTCGCAGAATGAACAAACATTATACAAATGATGCATAAACATTATAAATGATATGTAAATTTTGGCACTCTTGGAAAGACATGTTCCTTTTCAGATTTTTGTTTTTCAGGGAAATTTACCCTTCACCGTGGCTGAATCTGAGGATCTCTTCATGAATGTCCAAAGCTAATACTGCAAACCTCTTGAGCAAATTTACCTAAATGTTTACTTTTTGATTAGTCTGCTTTTTCAAGGACCCCAGAAATGACTACAGGATATGTTCACTAGAGGCCACCATACCAATGAGGTCTAAACTTTTCCAGCTTTCATTGTTTACAATGCGCCCAGAAAAAAAGCAGCAATATCTTTTTATAGGAGGCTTATTGCTGAGTGCCTCATCCAGAGTTAGTGCTTCACAACTGCATAGAGAAAGAAAACTGTGGCTGTCATCACTAAAGTGTCCTGTCTCTAAAACCACCACTTTCTTTATTCTCTCTCCCATAATCTTTACCTCTTGTATTGATGAGGCCCAGAGAAAGCAGTTTAGATAGAAACGCAGGAGAGCAAAAGAGGTCCTGAACAGGAGGCAGTTTATTTTAAAATGGGGTGAGGAAAACATCTCAGATTGGCCCCCTTCCTAAAAGCCCCTTTCCCACAGCATAGATTATGCAAAGGTTTCATCCTGGATGTGGCTGCTTCCAGGAAAACATCCTAATCCCTCCAGATTGAGCTGATGCTCCTTTTCCCCTCTCTCAATCCTCCCATGGTGTACCACAGCTGTCTTTATTTTTTTAAGCAGAGAAAGGTTTATTGCAGGGCCAAAGAAGAACAGGTGGCTCATGCTGAAAAACCCGAACTCCTACTATAGCTTTCTTATTGAAGCATTTATCATGAAGTTTTACAATTGCCCAGCTCCTTTTGCATTCCCTCCTAGACTAGAAGCTCCCTGTGTGAAGGGACTGAGTCCTCACTGTTGCGTGTCTGGCATAACAAATGCTCAGTTAGTAGCACGGAAGAATAAATCAATGGACGGATCTCAGCAAAAGCGTTCAGTATGTGGGCAACATACCACATTTGCCAAGGTAAAATCGGCTTTATTGGCTTCCTCAACTCTGTTTTTCTTTCCCTACTTATCCCATTCTCTCCCTTATCAGCTCCTTTGCTAAAGGCCAAGAGGCTCTGCAGAGCATTCACCACCTTGCAGGTGTGTGTCCACAAATGTGACCACGGTAAATCTTGCCCTCTCTCTCTTACCTTTGTTCACAGTTTCCCTGTAGTCGGTCACGGTCCCCAGGTGCAGTACCTGGCAGATCACCTCCTTCCCCACCTGACTCTTGGGGTCTTTGATCTGGAGGATGCTGATGACAGACGTTGTCCCATTGGGGTGTGAGAGAATCTCAGTACTGCTCTCAGTCTCTGACCCAGACACCTTCCAGGAGATCAGAGGGGCTGGGCGAGCATTGGCAGAGCAAGTGATATTTAGGTGGTCTTCAGATAGTTTATAGTGAAGGAACACTGTGGGCTGTACTGGGACAGAAAAAATGATCTGCCATCAGTTAAGCATGGTGTTTACAGAAAGACAGTGGAGGCTAGAAAGATAAGGTAGCACATCCAATCCAAACTGCGGCCTTCTGGGTTCTTTCTGTGTCTAATTCTCTGAATTGCAGGATGGAGACTGGCCTAGTACAACCCTGTGACAAGTACGATCCTCCCTGTAGTTTGCCTCTAGGAGAATGAGCTGGATGGACAGAAGGTACCTTCTCCCCCAAACAGTGCAGAGCCTAATTATTCTTTTCTCTTCCATGGGCAATGTAAGATCTCTGCCTTCTTCTGGGTACCCCTCTCAAATAGTTTGACAATGACCACCAATCGGCACCTCCACACAAGTAGTCTACACTTCTCAGAAGCACGAGGGCAGTTTCAGAACGGAGAGCCCGTAGGGGGGCTGCTGCTTAGAGAAAGCCTTTTTCTGTTTGGACCTGGGCCAGGGAGCAAGATGCATGGAGCAGACTTGGCAAGTCCCTGCTTGAAATATCTATACAAAATGTCAATTAGAAATTCATAGTCAGTAGTCAGAAAATCACAGAATGACAGTTGTAAGGACCGTGGAGATCACCTTATGGAGTTAACAGAAAATAGCTAGCTTATGAAGAAAGGACATTATTTTTAGGTCAGCTGTTCCCTGTTCCCTTTCAAAAGTCCCTTGATTAATGAATTCATTTTCTTTGGAATATACAGTTTATCTCTGCTGAGCAAATGTAAACTTGCCTTTCTGTGGTTGGCTTTGGAGCCCACAAGATAATTAAAGGGCAATGCTAAATGAAAGCTTGTCTGTGCTCAGAAGTTCAAGAGGTGGGTGGGTGGCAGTAGGCTAGAGAAAATGAGCCTATAGGACGGTGGCTCTGTCCAGAGTGCCCAGATTACTAACATCAATAAGCCCTGGAGGAATAGACATAAGGTAAAGGAAGACGAGTATGGTTGACGTGGCCAGATTGGCAGCAGGGTTCTCTGGTGTATCAAAGAATGACTTAGATGAAAGCTATAAGTTGTGGCTGGAAAGGATCAGTGTGGAAAAGAACTACAGAATTACTCACTAGAAGATGCAGGAGAGTCTGCTTTTCGAGCAAAAAAATAATACAAAGATTATGAGTAAAGAAGGGGGAGTAGGAGAAAGAAAGATGAACAAAAAAGAAAAAGAAAAGGAAACAGACAGAAATGAGAAAAATATGACACAAGAAGGAAAAGGAAGAAAAATGGTGGAAAGAAGGAAGGAAGGAAAGGAGAGGGAGGGAGGGAAGAAAAAAGAGCAAGGGGGGAAAAAAGGAAAGGAAAGAGGAAGGAAGGATTGGGGGAGGGGAGAGAGAGAGAAAGACAGGGAGACAGAGGGAGAAAGAGGAATGAAAGAAATAGAAATCAAGGAGAAAGCCTGATGCAAGATCCTGCAGAGAGGACTCATTACAGGCAAAATAAGTGAAAGAAACTTGTATTTGGTGTTGTCTTACCTCCCTTGCATTCTTATTTATTGAGCCTCTTCTTATCCCTTGTCCAATATTCTTGGTGTGCACGAACTCTCATTTTAACATTCCTAATAACCCTGTCTAAGTTTGTCGTTTCCCTTCTAAAACTACCACCAAGCGTGCCATCCTCCAAAGTTACCCCTTATTCCTAATTCTGAATTCTTGATCTCAGCTAAGCATCAGTTAAGAAGAAAGGAATCTTATCAAACTAAGCCTCTTGGATTTTAAAAGAATGCTTATTATTCAGTTAAATCCCTAGTAGGCATCAGGAATGAAGAGCCTCTGATGCATGTCTCCTTATCAATCCTGATACAGCTAAACTGAAACAAAATGAGAGGGACCCCTATAACTGGCTCCAGCTTAGCCCAATCTGGCTTTGTCCTTAGATCCAAAAATACTAAAGCTGTTAGAGGCCCTAGAGATGATCTACTTCACACTTCTGGTTCAGATAAATAAACTCTGGTACAGAGTGGACAGGACTCTTCTAGGGTCACATGACTGCTAATTGCAAAGCCAGGTCTGAACCACATCAGTGCTTATAGAGAACTTATCCTCACTATGGTCCTTAATTTACTCTTGTTGACAACAGTATTTGTCAGGGCAAAGATAACTCCAGGCAGAGACTCAACATAGTCCTTTGAACTCTCCAAATAACAGTAACCAGAGTTACAGTAGACATGAAAGGCCAAGTGTCCTCTCATGAGCCTTTCTGGGGTTAGGATCCTGAAAAACTAGGCACTACCACTACATTCCAAACATTCTGCAAAATAACATTTCAAGCCACAGACAATGTATTCTCAGAGACTCTCACCAAAGAGAGTGAGGCAGGCTATTCCTGAGATCTTCCCAGAACCAAAGGTATTGAAGAGGCACTTGTAACACCCTTCATCTTCCAAGGTGGTATTCCAGAAGGTAATGGTTGAGTTCATGAGTCCCAGCTGGGTGATGTTTATCTTGTCCTTATAGGCAGGCTGGACTACAACCCCATGGTTCTGGCTAAAGGTGATCATGTTTTCTGGGCTTACAGCCTTGATTTTTTGCCATGTCACAATCAAAACTTCCTGGGGATTTTGCAGAGAGCATCTTAAAGAAGCAGGTGCGTTCAGCAACTCTCTTACATCTTGGGTCTCCACTTTCATCATGGAATCATAAAAAACATTTACATTTTAATACATACACAAATATACATTTTTTTGATTAAAAACAATGCACGTTCAAAGTCAAATTTAGAAAAGATACAGAAAAATGCTAAAAAAAGAAAACATTTACTACCTTCCTGATGTTGCTAGAGAAATATAAGTTCAAATATTTGTTCAGTCTTTAAGAGTAGCAGAGTAGAAAAATAAGAAAGCAAAATCCCAGTGACCAGAAATTACATGAAGAATCCCTGTAGGCTGGAAATTAGGTGAAGTGAGGTTGAAGATGGAAAGTGCCAAATAGGATAGAAGCATCACCAAGTGAGTTTATGCCTGGAGCAGTAACAGCTAGGAATAAGAAAGGGCCAACAGACAATGGGCAGAGTGATTAGTTTAAGTGAAGAACGTATAGCAGCTCTGTACCTTCCACACACATACCTGCAAAGGAAGGAGCAGCAGTAGTGATGTCTGCCTTCTGGAAGCAGTGGTGAGTATAGGAATGCAAGATAGAGAGATATACAGGACAGTGCTCCAGAAGGCTGATAGTACCAGAGAGATTTGACCACCAAATGACAATCTACACATTCCCCTATTTTTACTGTATGCAGTGCAGAATATAAGGTATGGCAATAATTTCTTCCCCCTCCATGCTGGCTAGTCATATTGATATGATAGATGACTCAATGGGAGATCTCAATAAAACAAATAGCCAAACATTTGAGAAAGTTAACACAATGATAGAGGAATAATAAACTCTACAAACCCAAGAACTCACCAAATGAATAAAAATATCATAAATAAATTTATTTATTATCATAAATAAATAAATTTATTTATGATCATAAATAAATAAATTTTGATGTGAAAAAATGTGATATCTTAAGTGTGAAAAGGAACCAGCACTGTAAATAGTAGAAACTATAGATGCAGAAAATGAGAAATGTAAACTCTTAACAGACTTAGCAGAATGAATATCACTGAAGGGTAAATTAGTAAGTAGGAAGACCAGGTCATAGAATTTTTCCAGAATGTAGCACAAAGGGATAAAGATATAGAAAGGATTAAAGAAAAAATTCAAAGACTAGAACGTTTCAGCATGAGTCCAGTAAGAATTTTAAAAGGAGAGAAAGGGGAGAATAGAAGACAAAAACACTGTAAGGAACAAAAATATATTTTTCAAAATGATAAAAGGAGGAATCTAAAATAAGACATACTAATCATGAATCTTCATGCACCTAACAACATAACTCTGAAATATATAAAAACCTAATAGAACTACAAAGAAAAACCCATAAATCCATAATCATAATGAGAGAGTTTTTCATTGTTCTCTTGGAATTTTCACTTCCACATATTAAAAAAATAAGTAAGCCGCATAGCACAGGGAGATCAGCTCGGTGCTTTGTGACAGCCTGGAGGGGTGGGATAGGGAGGGTGGGAGGGAGGGAGACGCAAGAGGGAAGAGATATGGGAACATATGTATATGTATAACTGATTCACTTTGTTATAAAGCAGAAACTAACACACCATTGTAAAGCAATTATACTCCAATAAAGATGTTAAAAAAAGTAAGTAAAGCAATAAAATCAAATATAAGGATATAGAACATTTGAAAAACAAACTTTTATATATAACTTATTATATATGTATGTGTAGTATGTGCATATGAGCATGTATTTGTAAACTTTTACCCAAAAGAAAACATACAATCTTTTCAAACAACAAATGGAACATACCCTCAAATTGAACTTGAAATAGTGTACAAAAAAATGACCTTGAACTCTGTCCATAATGCAATAAAATGAGAAATTTACATGCTTCTTTTAACTCCTTAATTACACCAGAAATCATAACAAGAATTATAAATCACTATGAATGACAATAAGAATATCATATATTAAAATCTGTAGAAATTTACAAAGCAGTTCTCAGAGGGAAATATTTAATCCTAACTTAATTTACTGGGAAACAAGAAGAAAATGAATACACACAGATATCCAAAATTCCCACCCCACCCAAGAAATGATAAAAGGAGTGAATTAATAAAGTTGAAGGCACAAATTAATAAAATGATACACAAAATTTTGACTTAAAACACCAAATCTGTTATTTTTTTTTAAGACTAATAACACAGATAAACTGTTAGAGTAATTAGAAAAAAAGAAGGCAGCATAAACAAACAAACAATATCCATTCAACAACATCAAGCATGAAAAGACGGGCATAGCAACAAATACAAATTGGAACCCACAAGTGTTGCATAATTCCAATTTTAGTGAGGTGTACTCTTGGTAGATGTAAAAAGTTCTGGGGGGAATACCGGTTGTTAGGACTGGGGCTTCCAAAAAGTTTGTTGAGATTTTGCAGAGCAGAGATCTGAAGAAATTGCTGCTTTTAGAATAGAGCGTAGAAAAGGGATCAAAACTAGAGTTTTAACTTCTTGAGTAACTTTTCTCTCTGACTAATAATTTAGTGGAAAGCTTATAATTCTTCACTGCATATATGAAACTCCATTTAGGGTTGGTAAATCCTATGTTGTACATGGTATGAAACTTCCCTTTCCTACCCCTGTGAAGGCTGATGTAGTACAACATCACGCAGAAGGTGATAAAAGGCCAGCAGCAAAGTGAGGTGTGGTCTCCTATGGAACCGAGGAGAAGGGACTGGTGCAAGTAGGAAATTCAGCAGATGAGTGGAGAGCATAGGTGTATGTTTTATATGATAGACTATGGGAACCTACGTAACTTCCATATTTCATTATTTTTAGTATTTTTCTGTGAGAGGGACACACCCAAATTTAAGGCTTATTACCAGACTACCTTCCCAAAAGGCCATATTCATTCACACTCCCTTAGGCATTCCCATATCTTTACAAACATAGGGAATTATTATTTTAAACATCATTCAATTTGATAGGTGAAAAATGATATCTTAATTTAGGAAGAATTTTTTCATGTCTGGTTTTATCTAGGAAAAGTTTCTTAATATTAAATTATTTGAAAACATTGAAAAAAATGTGGAAAGCAGAAAGAACCACTCCCAGTCCTCCAAACGAATTACACACTTAAATAATTCATGCAGACAGATGAGCTAACGCAGCACAAACAAGAGTGGCCAAATGTTTCCACTCCAAAAACTGTGTTTGCTGGATTCCACGCAGGGGAATTGAATATCTTTACCTTGTGCCCTGCAAAACATCATGGCAGCCAAGAACCAAATCAGTTGGAAGGTAGACAGATGACAGAAGAGCCTCCTCAACACCTGAAGACAGAAAGCAAAGTACAGAAGTGGGCGTTTGGATGTGGACAAAGCTAAGAAAGCTTCAATCTAATCGCTGTTTCAGGAAACGCTGCAGCTAAAGTTTTAACACCGGAAACCTTTGGTTTTGTGGAAGCAGAACCAGAGACTATAAATGGAAGAAATAACGGAGGGTGCTCAGGGTATGGGAAGGGAAAAGCAGCAGTGTGGTTCCTTCATTATGGCCATCAATAAGCAATTTGAGGCCTTGCTTCCAAAGCCACCACTGTCAAGACTGCTGGGAAAACAAACTGCCATATGTATACTCAGAAAACATAGAGACTGCAAATGCTGAAGAACATTCACTCCCCAAATAATCCACATCTGTTTATATTAAAAATGTAACTCAGGTTGTAACCACTTGGCCGAAGATGTGACTGCTGAGGTAGATTTTCCTGCAAATTTTGCACAGTTTATGTAAATTTTACCTTTTAAAAACCAGTAATGGCTTTAGTTTTTCTTCATTGCTTTATTTTCATGTGTCTGGCAGAAATCCTTGGCCTTTTTACAAATCATGGTGGTATTTAAGGGACTATTATTCTGGGGATAATTTTGCTATAAAATGAGAGAGTGGAATGGAGACAGAACATCTTTACTCTGCAGCAGCCCCATGGCTGGCTTTGGTCTACATTTGTGTGTTCACTGTAAGGGGGTATAAGCAAGGAATGTAAATTTTCCCTATATTTTTTCCTATATTCTATATTTTTCTATAATTGAGGTATGTAAGAAATATAGGTTTCTCTGTATTTTTCTTTAACTTGAACTTTATTTTTATTTCATGTTGCCATTCCAACTAGAGGTAGAGACTTAATTTCAGTCAATATCACATAATCTCTGTCAGTTTAGCCCACCAACACTTCACAATTGTCCCAAACTCTGGCACTGCATCCACAGTCCTGGGAATGCCAAGCCGTGGGACAGGACCATTAACCCTTGGTTACAACCATCTATCCATGCTGGCACTATGTTCCCCTCAAGTCATCCTGATCATCGGTTTGTGCAATTAAATCTTGTGCTTACAGGATGTTCTCTCATGTTTCCCGATTCTCCAGATTCTGTGCTCCTGGATTCTTCTGTGCTGAACAAAGGAGAATTCTGCAAGGCTCTCTGACTAGACTCCCATGTGTCTGTCCATCTCTGTTTTACAGTTCCCTCGCCATGATGGGCAGGCTTGCCTCTTCCCACAGTTCCCCACAAGAAAGCAAGGCACAGGTGTTTTCTGTTCTTTGATTTCAACACCTACCTGTAAGTTCTATTCACCACCCTCCTGGACTCCCTACTCCCAGGGGCCAGGCACAGAGCATCCTTTTCAGGACACAAACCGACACTAGTCAGTCCCTCTTTGCTCTCCCAGCCTAGGGTTAAAGAAGCTGCTTCCTCCATCACCTTGTATTCTTCCCATCAACTTTTTCTGGGATGAAGGCCTGTCCTTGGCCTTTCAGCATTTAGGCTTTTAAAACTCAAATGCTTAGGCTTTTGCTATTTCAAAACTTTGGCTTCTGAGTGTCCATCAACAGATGAATGGATAAAGAAGATGTGGCACGTATATACAATGGAATATTACTCAGCCATAAAAAGAAACGAAATTGAGTTATTTGTAGTGAGGTGGATGGACCTAGAGTCTGTCATACAGAGTGAAGTAAGTCAGAAAGAGAAAAACAAATACCGTATGCTAACACATATATATGGAATCTAAAAAAAAAAAATGGTCATGAAGAACCTAGGGGCAAGATGGGAATAAAGACACAGACCTACTAGAGAATGGACTTGAGGATATGGGGAGGGGGAAGGGTAAGCTGGGACAAAGTGAGAGAGTGGCATGGACATATATACACTACCAAACGTAAAATAGATAGCTAGTGGGAAGCAGCCACATAGCACAGGGAGATCAGCTCGGTGCTTTGTGACCACCTAGAGGGGTGGGATAGGGAGGGTGGGAGGGAGGGAGACGCAAGAGGGAAGAGATATGGGGATATATGTATATGTATAGCTGATTCACTTTGTTATAAAGCAGAAACTAACACAACATTGTAAAGCAATTACACTCCAATTAAGATGCTAAAAAAAACAAACAAAAAAACTTTGGCTTCTGAAACTAAAAAGTTTTCTTTGGCATTCGAATTCCACACCATCATGCCACATGGAAATCCAGGCTCTAGCAAAGGCTGTGATGAGGAATGAAAATAGTTTGGCTTTCCGAGTAAAAATCTGTCTTTTAGGATAAGAGAGAAAGCAGACACACACCAAAACACAAGATGTACGAACTGGGGGCCAGCAATGTTTAAGAAACAGAAGCACAGTGATTGAGGCAAAGGGAATTAGAAAGAAAGCTTTGCTATTAATTATATACACATTTCCTCTGGCTGACTTGAGTTCAGGCTAGCACCCATATTAGATGTGTAAGCTAGGACAAATCATTTTACCTCTCTGAAATGCAGAAAAAAATAATAGCACCAACCTTCTCTCTGTTAAAAAGACTAAATGAGATAGTATATGTAAAGCTCCTAGAACAGTGACTGATACAAATAAGCACTAAATCAATGTTGCTGTTATCTCTTTGGGTTACTATGAGAATTAATTAAGCATTTAAAGTACTTAATACAGTGCCTAAGGTATGGTAAAAGCCAATATATAGTAGGTAACTTAAAAAAATTCATTAATCAGATCACACAATAATGGAAATAGAGAAGTCCATTTATAACCTTTGTCAAGAGGGCCAGGGTTCAGAGGCCTGGGTCTTACCTGACAGCTGCCCATCTACTTTGCCCCTATACATACCTCTTCCCTGAAAATTTCTAGGTTCAAATCCTGATCCTGCCACATACAGTCACATGGACTTGGAAAACTTAACCTCTCTGCCTGTTTCTTTATTTGTAAAATTGGGTAATAACTCCTCCTTTGAAGGATAGTGGTGAAGATTAAGAGCACCTGGCACTCAGTAAACACTAGCTCTAAGGCCACCATTCTCCTTTATTAAGGAAAACAGTGAAATAACTGGCTGTATGATCCTGCCAATAAACTATATACAAAAAAAAAAAAAAAACTACCTTCAGGCATTACTTGTATTTAGATTTTAATTTTTATTATTTTTATCAATTACCAATGTAAATGAAAATCCTCTCCTTCCTTCATTTTGTCATATACACAGGTCCTGAATAAACAAAATGTCTGTCTCTCGCGGATACCCAGGGTTTTAACCCTGATTTATCCAATCCTTTATGGTTTCCCAAGGCAAAGACCCAGAGGATGCAGAAAGAGGCTGGAGCATCACAGAGGGCGCCAGCTCTCCTGGACAGCCTGAGCGTGAAATTCTGCAACCTCACCCCAGGTTTCAGGGCCAAAACGGAGCCAATACAGCACCCTCTATCCCCGCCGCCAGCGCCCGCCTCCCAGCCCAGTTCCTGTCTGAGGATGTCAAGGATCTTCGGAGAAGCGTCTCCGGAGCCTGCGCCTGGCAGCATCGTTTTTCCAGCGCACTGGGACGGAGAACCGGAACGCCAGGAATGGCCTGTAAACCACCCTTTGGAAGGCAAAATCCGCTTCTCAGCAAGGTTAAGAGCTGAGGGGAAAGCGCTAGCAGAAATCCCACCTCCGAACCAGACTGGGGAAAGCCGCAGCCCGGCGCTCTCAGCCCGCCACCGCCCCAGGGCCGCCGGAGCGATGTCGCCCACCCTGCGCCCCCTTTCCCACGCCTGGCCCGGCTCACCAGCCACTCCATCCTCGCTCCTGGCCGCGCGGGGTGTTTGGCTTCAGCTGGGAAGCCCGGAGGGATCTCACACCGGACCAGACTGAGCTCCTTCAGTTCTGTGGAGCAAGGATGCGCCCCGCCAGCGTTTGGGGAGAGCTGCCTCACTCCTCCTCCGACACAAATACCCCTCCTCCCCACCCCCGCCCCGCCCCCCAAGCAGAGGCGTGAAGGCCAGTTTTTTCCAGTTTACTTGTAGGGGATAAAATAAAATAAATAGTACTCCTCTTTTCCTATCTTCAAAACGATTCACAGTTTTCAGAGGTGGCAACTGGGGAAACAGAAAATGTTTGAAAAAATATACACCGTTTCCATTTTCATTGTACAGACAGAAAGGAAACAGGGAGAGGTGGGAAGACATGAATTGTTTCCTGCGTTGGCGCTTGGAGGAATGGCAATCTACACTGTGCAGCTGGCGAGTGCGAAATGATTTTTGAGAAACGTTACACAGTTTCCACAATTACCACCTCGGAAAATCCAAATATTTTGAAGCTGAATTTAAACAGTAGACACTTTACAAAACAAATGTATATTTATTTTTATCCAGAACCAAATTATATATTGACGCTATCAATGCTGTAATGATCTCTCCTCTCATGATGTGACTGGGTTTTTTTCTCTATGTGTGGAGTTTTCTTTCATTTGTATTGATGATGAGGATTCTTCTCATTTTATTTTTTAATTTTTTAATTTTTTACAAGTTCCAGAGTTCTTGGCTCTTAAACAAAGAAAGACAAACAGATCAATGAAGTGTTCAATTCCTAAAGCCTTTTCTGTTTTGCTAACACCACCCCTATGACAAGGTGCTGGGACAGAGCTTTTACCTAAGGATCCATGGGGCTGTAAATTCCAGGGCGGTAACTAAAATAATGACTGATTTTCAGAAAAACACAAACACATTGAAAGGACTAAAATATTCATGGAGTGGCAAACAGGAAACAAAAGAAAGCCAACTTATAGGCATAGTGGAATTAAGATCAAATTAAGGAAATTGAAAGAAAATTCTTAAAGCTTCAAAAATGACAAGTAGAGACACCAAGAAAGACAATCAAAGTGACTTTATTTTTTTTATTTTTTTAAACAGCTGTGTTTTATTTATTTAATTAATTATTTTTATTTTTAGCTGCATTGTGTCTTCATTGCTGCACGCAGGCTTTCTCTAGTTGCCGTGAGCGGGGTCTACTCTTCGTTGTGGTGCGCGGGCTTCTCATTGCAGTGGCTTCTCTTGCGGAGCACGGGCTCTAGGCGTGTGGGCTTCAGTAGTTGTGGTGCGTGGGCTCAGTAGTTGCAGCACGCGGGCTCTAGAACACAGGCTCAGTAGTTGTGGTGCACGGGCTTAGTTTCTCCGCAGCATGTGGGATCTTCCCAGACCAGGGATCGAACCCGTGTCCCCTGCATTGGCAGGCGGATTCTCAACCACTGTGCAACCAGGGAAGTCCCCAACGTGACTTTTGTTTTGTTTTTTTTGCGGTACGCGGGCCTCTTACTGCTGTGGCCCCTCCCGTTGCGGAGCACAGGCTCCGGACGCACAGGCTCAGCGGCCATGGCTCACCGGCCCAGCCGCTCCGCGGCATGTGAGATCTTCCCGGACCGGGGCACGAACCCGTGTCCCCTGCATCGGCAGACAGACTCTCAACCACTGCGCCACCAGGGAAGCCCCCCAAAGTGACTTTAAATGTCACAAGGCAGTGCTGGATGCAAGAAGGCAATGAGTTAACTTTCAAAATATTGAAGACAAATAACTTTGAATTCTACTTTGTCTTTTATAAATATTGCTACAGAGGTATATTTAAAAAATACATTTAATTTTTTGATTAAATGTGTTATTCATAGAGGAAAGTGCATACATCATAACTACCCAGTATGAATCGTCATAGAGTAAACATACTTGCATAGCCAGAAGCAGATAAAAACCTGACTATTCCCAGCTCACCAGAAACTGTCCTACTCTCTTTGCCTACCCCTTCTGTCACTGCCACCTTCCCACCACTCTTACTTTCAACATCATAGACTAGACTTGCCTGTTCGTAACCTTTGTATAAATGGCATCATAGAGTATGTCCTCATTTGTATCTGGGTTCTTTCACTCAACAGACTTGAAAAATTCATCCATGTTATTGCATGCAGTTGTGGTTCATTCATTCTCACTGCTGTATACTATCCCATTCTTTAAATGCCACATTTATTTATCTATTCTGCTGTTACTAGACATTTGTTTGTTTCCGTTTTGGGGTTATTTTTAATAGTGGTGTTATAAACATTCTTATACATGGCTTTTCCTAAACACACGTACACCATGCTGTTAGATTATTTTTTGTTTTTGCCAGTTTTGTCTTTTTCTATCACTTTACTTTAAAATTTTCTCTATTGTTTCCCCCCAAGTATATAGATGATATTTTGCAGATGATATTTTTGACATTTAAAAAAATCTACTTAAAGACTCTGTCCTAAATTTTATTAGCAAAATATTATAAAATGACAGGATAAAAAAAAGATTTTGTTAAGCATATAAATCTCAGAAAATTTATTACATAAAGACTCTCCTTGAAAATATTTTCAAAAGAAGTATTCTAGAAAAAAGAAAAATTAATCCAGGAGTATGCTACATAGAAAGATATGCAGAAAGGGTAAATAAACTCATCAAAACTTATAACTGCCTAGAAAAAGCAAGATCCCCAAAATTGTATGTTCATAATTCAATAATTCAAACGTGCATGGAAGGGGGTAAGAGGTTAGATAATAAGATTATGACAGGTAGGTGAGAATTATGCCAAGATGTGTATTTTTAAGAAATAAAAATATAAGTTCTTAGCAAGTTAAGGCAAAACACCAGAAGAATAGCATAAAATATGATTCAAACTAGCAAAAGAATATTTAACCTAGTGAAAGACAGTATAGGAGAAATGTTACCAGTATGAAATGTGAAAGTCAAAAATAAAATGGAAAAAATGTTCTATTATATTAGTATTTATGACATATACAAATAAGTTAAAAACACAAAAGATAGAGACTTGGGATACAGAAGAGTGAGCAAAAGAGGGGAAAAAAAATCCCTGCCATCATGGAGCATAAACATTGTTTAAAAATTCTTTGGAAAATAAGAAATGTGCTTATATAATTTAACACTTTGCAAGAAAGGAAAAAATGATGTTTAAAATTCTTGGACAGATTTAAAGGAGCACTCAGAGCTAATTTATCACCTGAAATATATATATCAGATACCAATGTTGAGCAAAGGAAGCAAACACTGAACTCAACAAAATAAGAAGGACAGATACAATAAAACTACAGGTAAAAATCAATAAAAAGGAACAAAATTGAATACATATAAAAGGATTTTTTCCTAGAGATTGATTGAACAAACCTATGGCAAAATTTACTAAGAAAAATAGAAAATAAAAAGAAACAATATAGAATGAAAGTTAGAAATAATACTGGTATAACAAATAGAAAAAATAACAAGACAGTATTATAAACAATCATATCAATTAAAAAATTCTGAAAGTGACAGATTGATCATAAGAATTTTTACCATTTTAATTGACATTTTAACAACATAAAATATTCCAATTCATGAACATGGAATGTCATTCCATTTGTTGTGTCTTCTCTAATTTCTTTCATTAATATTTTATAGTTTTCACTTTACAATTCTTTTTTTAACATTTTTTAAAAATTGAACTAATTAGGGCCTACTGTATAGCACAGGGCACTCTATTCAATACTCTGTAATGATCTATATGGGAAAATAATCTAAAAAAGAGTGGATATATGTATATGTATAACTGATTCACTTTGCTGTACAGCAGAAACTAACACAACATTGTAAATCATCTATACGCCAATAAATTTTTTTAAAATATTGAAGTATAGTTAATTTACAATGTTGTGTTAGTTTCAGGTATACAGCAAAGTGTTTCATTTATACATACATATATATATATATATATATTCCTTTTCAGATTCTTTTTCATTATAGGTTATTACAAGTTACTGAATATGGTTCCCTGTGTTGTATAGTAGATGATGTATGAGCATTTTACTTATTTATTTTTGTTTTGTTTATTTATATATTTATTTATTTATTCCTGTTTTCTTGAGATATAATAGAATACAGCATGTATAAGTTTACGGTGTACAGAATAATGATTTGACTTACATACATCATGAAATAATTACTACAATAAATTTAGTGAAGATCCATCATCTCATGTAGACACAATAAAATAAAAAGGAAAAATTGTTCTCCTCATGATGAGAACTCTTAGGATTTACTCTCTTAACAACTTCCATATATAACATAGAGCAGTGTTAATTATATTTATCATGGTGTGCATGACATCCCTAGTACTTATTTATCTTATAACTGGAAGTTTGTACCTCTTGACCAGCTTCATCCAATTCCCCCTGCCCCCATTCACTGCCTGTGGTAACCACAAATCTGATCTCTTTTACTATGAACTTGTTTGTTTGTTTGCTTGTTTTTGAAGTAAAATAGACCTACAACACTATGTTTGTTCCCAGTGAACAACATAGTGATTCAATATTTCTATACATTACAAAATGGTCACCACAATGAGTCTAGTTACCTCCTAGACCATAAAAAGATATTACATAGTTATTGGCTATATTCTCTATACTATACCTTTCATACCTGTGACTCATTTATTATGCAACTGGAAATTTGTACCTCCTAATTTCCCTCATCTATTTCTCTCATCCACCCACTCTATCCCCTCTGGCAACCATCTGTTCTCTGTATCTAACACTTTTTCTATTTTGTTATGTTTGTTCCTTTGTTTTGTTTTTTAGATTCCACATATAAGTGAAATCATATGGTATTTATATTTCTCTCTCTGACATTTCATTTAGCATAATACCATCTAAGTTCATCTATGTTGTCACAAATGGCAAGATTTCATTCTGTTTTATGGTTGAGTAGTATTCCATTGTATATATATACAAAATCTGCTTTATCCATTCATCTATCAGTGGGGCCCTAGGTTGCTTCCATATCTTGGCTATTGTAAATAATGCTGCAACGAACACAGGGGTGCATATATCTTTTCAAATTAGTGTTTTCATTTTCTTTGGATAAATAACCAGGAGTAGAATTTATGGATCATATGGTAG